TGCTCATGCTCTGTCTCTCTCTGTCAAAAATAAGATAAACATTAAAAAAATAAAAACAAACAAAAATGTCCTCAATTTTTACTTATCTGGAAATGTCTGAATTTCTCCATCATTTTTTTGAATGACAGTTTTACTGGATATAGAATTCTTAGTTGATAGATTTTTTTTCTTTGAGAACTTTGAATGTATAAAGCCACTGCCTTCTCGTCTCCAAAGTTTCTAATGAGAAATAGGCTCATAATTTATTGAGATTGTCTTGTATGTGGTGTTTGTTGACTCTCTCTTGCTACTTTCAAGATTCTCTCTCTCTCTCTCTCTCTCTTTTTTTTTTTTTTTTTTGACAGTTTGATTGAAAAATGTATCAGTGAATTTATCCTACTGGGATTTTGTTGAGCTTCTTGGATTTGTAGATTCATGCCTTTCTTCAAATATGGGAGGCTTTCAGCCATTATTTCTTCAAATAATCTCTGTTCCTCTCTCTTCGCCTTCTGAGACTCCCATAATGAGTATATTGGCTCTCTTAGTCATTTACCACAGATCCCCTCTGTTTATTTTTCTTCATTCTTTTTCTTTTCACTCCCAAGACACAATAATTCAGTTGCCCTACATTTAAATTTGATGATTCTGTCTTTTGCCTGCTTAAATCTGCTTTTGAACCACCTGGTAAATTTTTCATTTCTATTATTATATTTTTCAACTCTGGAATTTAATTTTTTATCATTTCTATCTCTACTGATACTCTCATTTTCTCATACATCATTTTTATTTATATCTTCCTTCAGTATTTTGAGCATTTTTAAGACAGTTGTTTTAAGTCTTTGTCTAATAAGCCCAACATCTGAGTTTCCCCAGACCCAGTTTCTGCTTATGTATTTTGTTCCTTTGATTGGACCATACTTTCCTTTCCCTTTGTATCCCTTGTGATTTTGTTGTTGTTGTTGTTGTTGTTGTTGTTGTTGAAAACTGGACATTCGAATCTTATAATGTAGCCTTGATAATCAGCTTCCCCCCGTCCCATGATTTGCTGTTTCTTTGTTGTTAAAAAGTTTCTCTATGCTGGGGATCAACCTTAAGCGAAAGTATAAGGTCTTCTCAAGCCTTTAATGAGACTTCATCTTTCCCTGAGCATACTTGGTGGCTTTCTAAATTTTCCCATATGTGCAGTTGCTTCTTAATGACTTAATCCTTAAATATCTGATTCCCAAAAGGGAGAAAAGAAGGGAAAAATGTATTGCTCATTGAAATTCCCTGGAAGTCACTTCAGCTCAGAGGAGTTGCAACAATGGTGGCCACCCTCTGTCCCCACATCTCAGAAATCAAAAGTAGCACTGAATAATCAGAACAGAACCCTAGTATTTGGAGAATAAGGTTCTCATTGTCCACCCTGGCTCCAGCCAGCCACATCAGGAATACAGGCACAGCTGCCTGCTGTGGGGCTGGAGTGTGGAGGACAGATAGCCACTACCACAATAAAGGCTGAAATTTATCTAAATTCACCACAGCTTGCCAGCCAAACTTTTTCCAGTAGGTTGCACGCTTTCAAACAGACTCCAGAATTTCAAAATGGTCACTTCAAACAGTTTTTGCCAATACAATTATCATCTAAGTGGAGAAATGGATCCCTGGTGCTTCCTCCTCCACCATCTTCCTGACCTTGCTCTGTCTTTTGGTCATTTTTTAAAAATTTTATTTTCTTTAATGTTTATTTTTAAGAGAGAGAGAGAGAGACAAAGCATGAGCAGGACAGGGGCAGAGAGAGGGAGACACAGAATCAGAAGCAGGCTCCAGGCTCTGAGCTGTCAGCACAGAGCCCGACATGGGGCTCAAACTCACTAACCACAAGATCATGACCTGGGCCCAAGTTGGACGCTCAACCAACTGAGCCACCCAGGTGCCCCTATCTTTTGGTCATTTTAAGATAAATTTTGATAATATAGTTCAACTCAGTCTAACTACCGTTTGTTAACGGTTTGTTAACTTGTCTGTGCAAGTTTCTCTGCTAAAAGCTACAGAAAAGTAGGAGGAAGACAGTAATCTAGCTCACCATTTCACAAGGTTGATGATAAGCAGTATAGCAGAGAACCAAGCCGGTTCAGGACAGGCAGGCTCCAGGTAGAAAATAAAAAGAGGCTGCAGGGTGGAGGTGGCCTCAAGGATGGACAGAGAGTCGGGGTGGGGGGTGGAGAAGATGGGACAGTGAGCTAGATGGGTGGCTGAAAGGGGACTTGCCCGTGGGAGAAGGGACAGGGAGAAGAAACAAGATAAACAGAGTTCAGGAAGAAAGCACCCTGAGGCACATGAGGAATGCTTCCAGACCCACTTTCTCCTGGATCCAGGAGTTTTCTCATCCTGTCTAATCTCTCCACCAACCTGCTATTAACCATAAAGTTAGTTGGTTTATGAGGGTCAGTCAGATGCAAACCTGGAAAAAACAATTGACACAGGTGGGTACAATGGAAGCTAAAATAAAGCTCAGTGACATCTCAGGAGTGTAATTACATGATGTGCACAGATCTCAGTTCACACCCTGAAGTGTGTAAGAAAACATAGCTTTCTTTATTTTTCTAGAAACCAATTTTTCGTTTGCATTTGTGTTTTTGATTTTTTTTAATTTGTGTTTTTGAACTCCATTCTAGTCCATGTTGGATTCTTAATCACTTCCGGAGTTTTTGCCCCATTTTCCCTGAGTCTGCAGCTAAGTTCAGTGATCCTTGTGTCGTCTGGTGTTTGTCCTCTAGGGCTGCCATGACCAACTGCTACTAACTGGGTGGCATAAACAACACAAGTTTTTTCGCTTCTAGTTCTGGAGGCCAGAATTGCCAGATCAAGGTCTTGGAAGGATTGGTTCCTTCAGAAGGCTGTGAAGGAGAATCTGTTCCTTGCACCTCTCCTAACTGTTTAGTGGCTTGCTGGTGATCTTTGTCGTTCCTTAGAGTATAGAAACATCACCCTGATATCTGTCTTCATCTCTGCATGGTGCTCTCCCTCTGTGTTTCCATCTCCATATTTCCCCTTTTTATAACAAGACTAGTCATATTGGATTAGGAACTCACCCTGCTCTGGTATGATCTCATCTTAATTAACTACATCTGCAGTGGTCCTATTTTTAAATAAGGCCACATTCTGAGGCATTGGGGTTAGGACTTCATATGATTTTAGGATGGACACAATTCAACCCAGAACTTCTCACCATACAGCATCTGTAGCCTTACCCATCCCTTCTCTGATCCCAGCCATGGGAACTTGTCTATTACAAAGAAGATGTCCTCCTGCTGGTCCGCATGGCTTTTCCCCTCTCTGTGTCTTCCACAGTGTGCTTTGTGGCATAGGAGCCCATTCATCTGTTCACACTTGGTATGCAGGCCCTAGGTTCTTGGGGAGGCTGTCTGAGACTCTCTCTATGCCATGCAATCATTTCTCTGAGATCCAGCTGCCTGCCTTGTGCTCTGGGAAGCAAAAAGAACAAAAGGTCCCTCTGTTCTCAGATTCTGTAAACCTCAGAGAGGTTCTGCTATTTCCTAACTTGGAGATCAGAACTCAGGGTCCCTCTCTAGATCCACCAGTATGTACCCTCTCACAAGGCTGTCACCATGCCCAGGTGAGAGAGATGTTGTCTGGTGTATATGAAATGGTCATAGGGGTATGAAAGAAGCCTTTCTTCCCATTCCAGACGTTTTCTCCAACACATTTATGCAGACAAAGAGCTGGAAAACAATGGCCCATGGACCAAATCTGGTTCATCACCTGGTTTTCTAAATAAGGTATTATTTGCGCACAGTTATGCCCTTTTGTTTATGTATCATCTCCGGCTCCTTTTTTGCTACAGTGGCAGAGTTGAGTAGTTCCTACAGAAATATTCACCATCTGGCCCTTTGCCAAAAATGTTTGTAGAGCTCCTGGTGTAGACTTTTGTGACACAAAAGCCTGAGGACTTCTGCTGTGATATATCTCTCCTCATGTGATCAGAGGGTGGCCTCCAGTTGTCTAAACACAAGGAATGGCAAAGGGAGGAAAAGAAATACTTAGTATGAAATGGTTAATGTGTCAAAAATATCTTGCCAACAGGTAAATGCAATTTGTGAGAATCCATTGAGCAAAACAATTGTGATTTGCGTTCTTTTCTCTTGAATGCTCAATTTCAGTAAAAAGTACAGGGAGAAAATAGCGGTACTCCATCATGGTGACTTGGGTCTCGTGGAAATGAAAGGAGCCACTGAGGTTGCTCGGTTCAGAGCCTGATGGGGACACCCCAGGGCCTCATGGAAGCGGTGGGCAGAGCCACGTTTCAGCCACAGCTGGACCAGCATCCTGTTGTTCCTCCTCAGTGCCCCTCACACACATGGGCTAGGCCAGAGAACATAGCTGAGTCTCCGGGACTGCTTAGAACCCCAGTCTAAGCACAGAGCTGGGACCCATGCCGTGTCATTGATCACATTTGGTCTCACGCTTGCCCCAGCAAAGGTTGCAGAGCCCGGATCTGACCAGTCTCCACCCAAAGCCCATGAACAAGTTAATTAATCATTCTGATTCTTTTTATTATAAAGTAAACGAGCTATTTACTCATACTTAGCGACCTCCAGAATGTATGCAGGAGCCATTTAAAGGCCTTTGTTTTATAGAAAAATAAAACAAACAAACAGACAAACAAAAAAACCCCACACACTAAAAATTCCCCTTTGGGTTTTCAGTGTTACAGATGGCCAAGTTTTAGGTTCAGATGAAAGACACAATTTGTGGATCTTGCCGAACTTATACTCACTGTATTCTATTTCCAGATGACCCTGATTTACAGTTCTTGGATGCATTTTTCTGATGGCTCACTTAAACATGCCGTCAGCACGGGGCTGGGATTGCCGTGATATGGTGTGTAAGAGCAGAGGGAGGGTGCTTTGGAAACTTTGCCTGGCCCCTCCCCCTTTTGGCAAGAGAGGCAAAATCCAAACGCCCCTGCTGTTTCCACAGCACTGTCTGGTTAACACAGACCTTTCTCTTCCTTCTAGCCCTGGGCCTGGAGGCACGCACTGCCTGGGCGCCAGTGTGGAGCACGCCGTCTGCGAGAACCTTCCCTGCCCCAAGGGCCTGCCCAGCTTCCGGGACCAGCAGTGCCAGACGCATGACCGGCTCAGCAGCAAGAAGAAGGGCCTGCTGACAGCAGTAGTGGTTGATGGTAAAGGCATATGGCACGTCCTTTCACAGTGCCCCCCCCCTTCTCCAAGAATGTAAACACCTCCTGGGAAAACCCACAGGGCCCCCCCTTCCCAGCAATCCATCCAACAGGACGCTCCAGTCCTGCTACCCCAGGCAGCAGTGGGCCCGCTTCTCGAGCAGTGGGGTTGAACTTGGATGACCCAGCCCTGGGAGATTTCTTAAAAGCAGCTGTGAGGCGGGCAGCAGACCAGAATTGTCCTGCACCCCCGATTTGCAGCGAGGCGGGTGTGCTGGCGGCCTGCCGCACGGTGCCATGTGCTGAGGGGCCCAGGGCCAGCTTTGAGGAGAGCAAGGCTCTGCAGGGACAGGATGGTGGGTCTCTGTGTCTGCTGTCTCTATTTCCAAGGTTGATGCTTTCTTGCATTTCTTTCTCGGTTCGTTTTGGGGTTGGCTTTTACTCTTTGCCTAGAGTGTTTGGAAAAAAAAAAAAAAGTTTGGAGGCCAGTTCACAACTCGCCGAAGACGATGATAGGCACAGGTCACGTTTTCCTTCCAAGAGATTTCTCCCAACTCAAGGGAGGCTTCCCCGTGGGCCGCTGCAGGCATTTCCAGTGGCTGATAAACTTCTAGGTGGTATATCTTGTCTGTAGGATTTGTGATGTCTATTTATCATTGATAAAGACTGCCTTCCCCCCCAACCTCCCCCCCACCCACCCACCCACACAGCCTCCTGTGGCCATGGCCTAGTTCAGGGTTTTTTAGACTTTTGTCTCCTGGAGATAAGACTGTATTGTAATGATGACAATATGGTCCTATTTGTTGAGCACATCATATGCCAGGCACAGGTTAGCGCTGCATACATCATCTCAATTAATATGCATAATGAGCCATGCAGAGAGGAGAGGTTACGGGTCATGGGACCTATCTGAGTCCCTGCAGCTGATAAGAAGCAGGGAGGGACCCCAGTTCTGGAGGAGGTGACTCAGAAAATAACCAGCTATCATCTGGCTTCCCATACTCGAGTAAGAGAGCATGACTTCAGAAGTATCAAGTGAAGAGGCTTTAATAAGAACTGCAGTGACAGAGTCTCTAAGGCTTCTGTAGGAGAATGAAGTTCCTGTGCCAGGTCTTAGGTTTCTTCTTTGTGGTTTAAAGAACTTCTAAAATCTATATGCTGCAGTCTGTTCTTACAGGGTCAAGTGTACCTAGCTGTAGGGGTAGACCCAGGCATCACAGGGAGTAATGGCCTCAGACCTGTCGCTTTTAACCCAGCAACCTGACCCACGTGCTTTGAACTGAGTTGTAAAATAACATGAGATGCTCTAAATCATCGCAGATAATACCGACCTGCTCAGCTATGGGCTCATTTAAAAGCATCTGGGAGCTCCCCAGACCTTTTCCTTTTTAAAAAAGAACACCACCGTTTGGAGCTGTGTGATTGTAGGTATACCATCACCTAACCAAGACTTCAAGAGAAGAGCGGACTCCGTACCCTCAGCTGTTTCTGCAGACCAAGGAGAGAGGAGGCCGAGCAGACTCGCCCTCCCCAAAGGAACACATGCAGCTGGACGCAGGGGCTCGCCCAGGATCCTCACTTCTCTCTGCCCGGCCATTCCTCAGATGCAGGAAGACACAGGAGGCTTCCACATGTCACGAGCACATTCAAGCCCCTAATCTGGAGGGAGCAAGCCCCAAGCAGAAGCTGTTTCCAGCACTGCAGTCAGTTCTGATGCGGAGCAGACTTGTTTCCAAACCATCAGCCATCCCAGCCTGCTGGGTAAAGACTCCTTAGGCCCTCTGTCGTGTCCTCTGCTGCTTGTCAGGAGCAAAAAGAGGTCAGATCTAAGAAAGACTCACCCATTTCCACCCAGCTATGCACACAGAGTTGTTATTCTTTCCTTGGTCTGCTTCAGCCTTCAGTTCTCTTTTATTCGATGCAGAAATCCCACTTAAATGGCTGGTTTTCCACAGATTTCTCCAAGTCCAGATTAAGCTTCTATTTTACTTGTAACCACTTTTGGATCACTGAGCTCTTTAGTTCTCTTATCATCACAGTGGCTGAAACTGATGTCTGCCCTGGAACCCCCTCCAAAGAAGCTTCTCAGGGCAGCGATTTGGGGAAGCTTGCCGGATTCAGAATATGTTCTTGCCCACTCACTTTTCATGTCTCTCTACCAAAACCATCAATAATTATAGCCAGAGTGCTACTGCCTTTGATCTGGAAAGTGCTACCCTATTTGATAAGGACAGCTAGCGGGCAGTATGCATTTTGTCTTTGAAGGAGGGACCCCAAGTTCAGGGCTTTGCAAGGGTAGCTTGACACCTCCTCCTCCGGGGTGGAATTGTCATGACTTCTTGCATATTTGGTTTCATTTCCCTGTCAAATATAAACAGAAGCCAGCATTTGTGAAAGGAGCATTTAACAAGGATGAAAACAAAATAATAAATGGCCAATTCGGAGGGCAAGGGGGAGAATACAGATTATAAGTGCGTTCTTCTCAAAAATCAGCTTATAAAAGGCCCAATTCTAGCTCAGCCGTGATGGGAACGATTCCTGTGGTCGGGCTCTGGGCTCTCTCGAAGCCCATTATGACTGCCCTATTCATAGCATTGCTATCACTGCGGAATTCTTTGGCGAGTGACGCACAGTTCAAGAAAGGGGAAGCTATATTTTTTCTTTTTTCTCCTGCTGAAAAAAAAAAAAAGAATTCTTGCAGAGGTAGATTTTCCAAGAGAGGGTTCAGGACCACAAATCCATACCACCTCCAAAAGAAGACAAAGGCTCTCCTTAGAAAATAGTTCTGGGTGGGAAAGCCTTTAGACAGAAACCCATTGAGATGCCCTGTTGCCAGACCCACCCCATTTCTGCTTTCCCCATGGAATCTCATTTAAGTAGAAACCTTCAGGAGTTCAGTCTTTCCCACCCAAGCCAGCAGGCCACATGCCCACTGAAGTGTCGGAGGGCTTGGCGAAGGCCATGTCTGGACGTGGAGGTGCATTCCCAGCGCCTCCCCAGCATGGCAGAAGCCACTCTGGGTCTTAGCCTTCCAGGGGCTGGAGGGTATGATGGTTAAGGACTCTCTGACTGCAGTTCGGCCAAGCTGACTCCACTTGCTTAATGAAAAAGAGAAAGTTGTTGCAAAGATGAAGGGTGTCTCAGATCCCAAGGGCCCAGATGAGGGTCTGAGGCCAGGGCCTCTGAAAATATCTGAACCCCCTCTCCATGCCCACCACAACTAATGTGTGAGTTGTATCTTCCTGCCCCCCACCTTCAGACTGGCTTTCTCATGATTTGTCCACATGCAGGCTGATGGGTCACCCACAGCACCTTTCCTGATAAAGGACCTTTATCCTTTATCTGAGCGCTTTGGGGCCAGATATGGCCAAACATTTTTGGTGTTAGGTAACAACAGTATATCGACCGTATATTACTTAATACTCCCAGTGGAGCCCTGGGAAGCACCCCACAGTCCAGGGACGCATGTGATGTCTCTACCAAGTAATCCATGAACAATCTCTAATGAGGATACTGCACACTACCAACAGCCTCATGTCAGTCAAGCCCAGTTTGGCTGCCAAATGTGTTTGCCACAAATATAAGAACATGCTTGCAGTTTCCAGAGCTTTTTGGAATTCTGGATTATGGATAAGGGGGTATAGACTTATTTCAGATCCATCAATCATGAACAGACACAGCTGTTCCATATCTGAATTTAGTGCTGATTTTTTCAAGAGGGAGACTCTGATTGGTCTACCTGTGGCTACACTTCGTCTAATCAATTGAGGCGTGGCTATGCGGTTGTGGTGGAGAAAAAGAACTGAGTGGCACAACTACAGTCAAGTGGCTGCTTCTGGTCCAATCAACTAAGGCTTGGCTTTGGAGTCATGGTGGGCAGCTTTGGGGATAGGGGACAAAGCGGACTCCTCAGCATGTACCCCCCCACCCCCGCCCACAAGATAGCCAGCCAGAGCTGGAGTGAGCACTTATGATGGCCTCAAAATTCAGTGGTGTCTCCACCTTAGTAAGACCTTGTAACCACTTGGCAGAGAGAACAGCAAGAGTGCCAGTAGCCACAAGTGTCCTTTTCATCATGAAGCACCAGGGGGAGTCCTCCAGGCATCCAATGAGCAGATATGATCAGGTGGCCCTCAAGCCCCTGAGCTCATCTCCCCTGCCCTGTGTGGTTTCTTCATCAAAATATGAGTCCTGGAGACAAGTGGGCCAGTGAGAGACCAGGATTTACAGCAGACAGTCCAGCCTCAATCAGAATTTCATCTTGGCACATATCAGCCAAGAGGGACACTCTAAGCTTCTTTCTTTGGAGTGGTTGTATAGCTTTTAAGATTTGACCTCCTTCTGTACTACTAAGAATGTAAGATGCTGTGCTCAGAGAAAATCACAGCACCTTATTTATCTGGAGGTTAATTGCCCATCCAATGGGAATATTCAGGGAATTTTGAGGGGCTTCTCCTCAAGTTTTATAAAGATTGTCCAGAGTCCCTTTGGGAGAGAGTACTACACCTTCCTAGAGGTGTGGGTTACCCTAAATTCTGAGCACAGACCTCAGAAAAGGAGATGGACAAATGGAGTTTCAGTCTGAGCAAAGGAAGGAAGTGTTATGTCTGAACGCTGTTCTGGAGTCTGAGTGCCCCCAGACTTCCCAAGCCAAGGAGGACAGTGTCTGCAGGTGCAAGAGTCCAGTGTGGATGGAGTTGAGTATACTTTCTTGCCTGGGGTCATTGCTGAAAATCCTCCATTTGAGGTCAACCCCCCTGCTTTGGAGAATCTCTACTTTCCTGTTTACACCAAAGGGCCCCCAAAAGTCTTCACCCCTCGAAGTCTGGTCTTTCTAACTTGTCTCAAAAGACCCTCTACTTTTTCAACCAAATCCCATTTCCATTTCTGCTCAAGTCAGAGTATATTCAGAAGCCAGAAACATTCATGAAACTAGTGGTTTGTTTTCAGTAACACCATTTTGTCTCTTGGTTTTTTTGGCCCCCAGTGTCTGAAAGAAAACTAGGCTGGCACAAAGAGGCTAGGGTCTGGCCCTGCCAATCAAGGGACTCTGGGTAGCCTGTACCTTTCCTGAGCTTCACATGCTCGTCTATAAGATGGAGCAATGACAGGGGCGCCTGGGTGGCGCAGTCGGTTAAGCGTCCGACTTCAGCCAGGTCACGATCTCGCACTCCGTGAGTTTGAGCCCCGCGTCGGGCTCTGGGCTGATGGCTCAGAGCCTGGAGCCTGTTTCCGATTCTGTGTCTCCCTCTCTCTCTGCCCCTCCCCCGTTCATGCTCTGTCTCTCTCTGTCCCAAAAATAAATAAACGTTGAAAAAAAAAAATTAAAAAAAAAAAAAAAAAAAAAAAAAAAAAAAAAAAAAAAAAAAAAAAAAAAAAAGATGGAGCAATGACAGCACGCACCTGAAGTGCACAGGTACTACTTAGCATGCTGCCTTGTACACGGAATATAATTAATGTTATTTATGATTTTATCAAAATCATCACCATTATTACTGCTATTGTACAAATCACTTCAAAGCTCAGTCATGCCAAGTATTGAGGCAGTTTAAAGGTAAAATGCGTAGTTTTAAGATTTCTTGGACCCAGGGGACCCTTCCTTCCTTACAATGTAACATTAGAGGAAGCCTACCTAGGATGTGAAGAAGATATACCCGTCAACTCAGACTGGGGGCTGTGGTGCTGCATTCTCCCAGTCATTCCCCAAGGTGCTCACAGGAAACCTCAAGGTCCCAAAGAGCACCTCAAAATTTTTGTCAGATGAGCCTCCCAGAACCTGATCTCAGTTTACATTTTAGTCTCCCATACCTCTTCCACTGGCTGCCTTCCTGGGTCATTCCACTTAAATGGAGGGACAACTGCCTCTAGCCTGCTAGCTGGGAAATGGGTCATTCTTTCCACTTAATGCCCTGTCCTCTGACAGCTCAGGTCTATTTCATGTGGCTTTTCACAGTCTGCCTCTTCTGGGATTTGCTGTGTACTTGTCCCTTAGACCACCAGGGCCTTGAAAAGCATACACTACTCATCTTTCTTTCCCCACAGTGCCACAAGAGTGCCTTGTGTGGTGGAGGGGCTCAATTCCTGTTTTTTGAATGAATAAACATTGAAACATCATTACTTTACTTACCTGGGAAACTACTCTTCACAGCAGTTTCCGCCCACAACTAACTGGAACAAACAAGCTGAACATTTCTACTGAACCTCTGTAGCTTCTCTCTAGTGTTATAAGACAAGACATCCCACTGGGCATGTTGGTCAGCAGAGCTCCATGAGAGAGGAGCTTTGGAAAGCTGCTGAAAATGGTGGTGGTTTAGTGAATGTCATTCAGTCATGAAAGCTGCAGAGCCTGGGTGAGATAGCACATCTGCTCTGATGAGAACTATCCAGCTGGAATGTCAAGGTCTTCTGAGGCCAAGTCAACTCCAGAAGCCTTTTTCTACCCCTGCTCTTCCTCACCTGAAACCAGTCGAAGGACCCAGTGGAGAAAGATCATGATGGAAACAGGGCCTGACAGAGGCAGCACAGACGTGCTGCTGTTTCTCTCTCTGGAGGTTTCCTTGCAAAATAATCACATAAACATCATTGGAATTAGGTGACACAGAGAGAGAAGGGTGCATTCCTCTTTCTCAGTTACATATGGAAGAACAAAATCCATTCATTTATTAAAAAAAGAATCTTGATTTTTCTGTTAAGATCAAGAACGAGGCAAGGATTTTTTTTTTCACCACTCCTTTTCAACATCATACTGGTAGTCCTAGCTAATGCAATAAGACAAGAAAAGGAAATGAAAAATACACAAATTGGGAAGGGAAAAATAAAACTACCTTTGTTTGCAGATGACATGATGATTTATGTAGAAAATCCAAAAGAATCAACAACAAAAAAAAAAACAAAAAAAAAATAGAAGAAAAGAAAAAAACTCCTGGAATTAGTAAATGATTATAGCAAGGTTACAAGATATAAAGTAAATGTACAAAAATCACTTTTGTGTATACCAGCAATGAGCAAATGGAGTTTGAAATTAAAAGCACAATACCATTTACACAAGCACCCAAGAAATGAAATATTTAGGTATAAATCTAACAAAATATGTATAAGATCTATATGAGAAAAACTCTAAGGAATGAATTTAAAAAATTAAATGGGGAGAAATTCCATGTTTCAATGGTTCATGACAAGAATTAATATTGTCATGTCAGTTGATCTTGTCAACTTGACCTATAGATTCAGTGCAATCCCGATCAAAATCCCAGGAAGTTGTTTTGTAGATATTGAAAAACTAATTCTAAAGTTTATATGGAAAGATTAAAATATTTACCAAGTCCTTCTGCAATCCAGGTCCTGGACCTGGCCTGAGGACAAGAGAGAAAATCTCAGTCCCTTGTCCTCCAGGGGCTCCAAGTACTCTCAGTTCTTCAAATCCAAAGATAATAATTAAAATCCATCCCTTTCAAACTCTTTTAGCAATGGAACTCACCTTATAAGAAATCCTCTTGTATATGGAAGTTACTCAAACAATTATAAAACAATAGGATAATAGTTAAGGGCTTTAATGGAGGCATAAGCAAAGTGCAGAGGGAGATTCCATGTCAGAGATGGCATGAGAGGAGAGAGCTCTGGAGTAGAAGCTTCTAGGGTGATAGGAATCTCCCAGAAAGCTATGTGCAGAGAGAGGTTTCCAAGCAGAAGGAAGAGTTTTGGCAAAGGCATGAGAGCTTGTCATGTTCTAGGAACTCTCTTGGTTCTGACATGACCCTTCCAAGTTGTCCTAGAGGCTGCTATGTTCCTGTATTTTACTCCTGCTCAGTTTCTTCCAGGACCTTCTTGCTACATATCTCAGCCCTGCAGTTTTTATCCAACAGCCAGTGGAGCACTAAAGCTTTTAGTAAAACCCACTGCTGTAGAGACATCCATGGGGCTCACACCCCCTCCTACCCAAAGGCATTCTGATTCACCTTCTCCCCCTTTCCAGCCCCCACAACAAGAGACGCTCCTAGTCTCACCCTTCATATATATTCAACTCACTTAGATGTTAGCACACAACAAAATGCTTTTTCAACCTGGTATTTTTAATGTCTTAAAGAAAAGGAAGAATAAGATGAATAAAAGCCCACAGAGCCCTCACTCACGTGTTGTTCACCTGTACCTGAGGGTCTTTCTCCATTTGTTGTGTTGAGTGTTCCAAGGGGCAGGTCCATGTCTCTGAGCATGCGCCAGGTTCCTGTGACCTTTATTCCATGCTGACCTCTCATCATTTGGGCCACCATCCATATGCACCTGCACCTTGCATGGCCCACAAACCACTTCCCACATCAATGTCCACCTTCCCCTTTCCCTCCTCAGATAAACCATGTGAACTCTACTGCTCACCCCTTGGGAAGGAGTCCCCGCTGCTGGTGGCCGACAGAGTCCTGGATGGCACACCTTGCGGGCCCTATGAGACCGACCTCTGTGTGCACGGCAAGTGCCAGGTGACGTGTTTTCCTTGTATCTTTGGTGGGGCTTTCTTTGGAGGGGAGCCTCCCTCACCCCAGAAGATTTCAGGGAGGGGCAGAGCCCTGGGGAGGGAATGGATTTTCTCCATAAGGCACCCATGATGCTGTCTCCGGCAGCTTGGCACCCCTCCCTCCCTCCCTCAGCAGTGACTGAGCATGAAGCTTATCTATAGGCCAGCTGGGAGTTGAGGTGGCTGGAAGAGTAGTGGCGACATCATAATCTCAAAAATCTTAAAATAACTTTAGCCATTCCGACGAAGGGAAGAACAGGTAGAATGCTAAGGTAAGACTGGAAGATGTATGTGCATGTGCTTTTGGGCAAGCTATGTTCTGTTCAGCTATAAAAGATCTCATCGAGCTAAGCAGATTCCTTCACAGGTGGTTCAGTATGCTGAATTGAATGTGCTGGGAATTCAATTCAATATGCTGGCTTTGGGGACAACTGCAATTTAGTCCCCAAAGCCATCCTGGTGTTGGATGTCTGCAACTCATTAGAATGATGATAAGTAACATTCAAGAAGACAAAAGGAAAAAGAGAGGGAGGGAGAGGGGATGGGTAGAAGTGCACCTTCCACCTGCGTTAAATCTGCCTGAGCTGGGGGCTCACCTGAAGCTGGGCCCTCCTGACGCAAGGCTCCCTGGCCCAGCGTAACGGTCCTATTTGTCCATCAGAATGGCCATCCTCCTGATGTGTACAGCAGCTGGAATTGGGGTAGGAGTCAAGAGGGTGTGTGCCCAGAGGGCCATGACTCAGATGATGCCACCCTCCATTGTGCTGTATGTGCCATATTTCCTGCTGACTCAGTTGGGTCTGCACCTGTCATGAGAGAGTCCTTGCCTTCAGCCACAGACATGTGCCCTCCTCATGGTTGAGGCCAGGCTGCCTCAGCTGTGTCCTCAGCAGGTGAGCCCACTGAGAGCCGGAGGAGGCGGTGGCTCCCAGAGCCCTCAGCAGGCAGATGGATAGCAGGGTTGCTGTGCATTTGGCACAGAAAGGAAAACCAGGGCTTGCCTCTGATTTTCACTCTTCCTTGTTTGGCCTTCATTGACCAGCAGCTGCAGCATGAGACTAATAAGCAAGGAGTCCACTGACCAGGGGCTTCTGAGGGGTCTTCTCATTTTGCTTGGAAAAGAGAAACCGCATCCCAGGAGCCATGTGGCTACTGATGCTTCGGGGTGCCCACACCTCCCAAAGTCAACACCCAACTCTGATGTCCAGATTCATGGAACTATTAAAAGCATGTGAAAAATTTTAAAGTCTAGGGGTCACAGGAGAGAGAAACTATTATTCCCCCTAACTATACTTACACCAGAAACCTGCCTCCAGGACTGGGACCGACTGACCCCATAAGGTAGTGCGTCTTGTTTGTTCTCTCTGCTTCCCAAGCATGGCTGAGGGCAGTGTTTTGGAGACAGAGTAAAAGGGGAGGCAGGCAGCAAGACACACAAATGCAACCTCTAGGGTGATTCCTGGGGCCATTTCAACCCTAGTGGATTTTTTTTCCCTGCAAAGTCCAAACTAGTCCCCAAACGGGATTTTCCAGAAAAAAAGCTTGACAATATCCAGACCCCTCTGGCCCTGCCTAGCTTTGTTATCAAATCCAGATATGCATGGGTGACAGGCACTAGGTGCCCAAGAGTCTTGGCAAGGTGTCCTTCTGGGGAAGGAGGCCGTGATGGTGGTGGAGTTGGACCCTCAGGGCTGCAGCGTTGTCGTGGAGAATGTGCAGGGCCTTGGGGGGTGTGAACACAGGTCTTATCATTGTCACCAAAATGAGGAATTGCCGGCATTTCTCTATAAATCTGCTAGCAAATCAAGTGGAGGATTTTTTTCTTTCGTAACTTACACACTTCCAGGGCCCATCCTACAGCGTGGCGATGAACATTTCTTTAGGGACAATTTTCCAAGTAAAAAGCACTTGTACCCTTTAGAAGGCACCATCTGAGCTACCTCTGGGCTGTTGCCAGCATCTTTTGCAATGTTCTTGCCAATGTGCAGACATTTCTAAGAGTCCTGAAATTTTCTGGCCAGTGGGGTCAATGTTAAGTGGCCAGACA